ATGCTATCAAATTAAAAAGCTTTCTTTACAGCAAAGGAAACAATTATAAATGTGAAGAGAGAACATACAGAATGGAAGAAAATCTTTGCTAGCTACTCTCTGACAGATAATTAATGTCCAGAATATATAAATAACTCAAAAAAATTAACATCCAAATGCAAATTACCCAATGAATGGGCAAATGAATTAGACAGACACTACACAGAACAAGAAATACAAATGGTGGGGCTGGGGTTGTGGCTCAGTGGTAGAACGCTTGCTTGGCACGTGTAAGACACTGGATTTGATCCTCAGTACCACATAAAAATAAATAAAATAAAATAAAGGTGTTATGTCTGTCTACAACTAAAAAATATTTTTTAAAAAGAAATACAAATGGTGAACAAATATATGAAAAATGTTCAATATCATTAGCTATTAGGGATATGAAAACCAAAATTACACTAAGATTTCATCTCACTCCAGGTAGAATGTCAGCCATAAAAAATACAAACAATAATACTGGAGAGGATGTGGAGAAAAAGAAACACTTAACCCTATTGGTGGGATTGTACATTAGTACAACCACTATGGAAAATCAGTATGGAGGTTCCTCAAAAGGTGAGGCATGGAACCACCATATGACCCAGCTATACCACTCCTTGGTATTTATCCTACAGAATTAAAGTCATCATATTGTAGCAATACATGCATTTCCATGTTTATAGCAACACAGTTCACAATAGCTAAGCTGTGGAAACATCCTAGGTATCTATCAACAGATGAATGGATAAAGAAAATGTGGTATATATACACAATGGAATTTTATTCAGCCATAAAGAAGAATGAAATTACATCATTTGGCAAAAAAAAGGATGGAACTTGAGAATATTATGTTCAGAGAAATAAGCCAAACTCATAAAGTCAAGGATTTATGTTCTCTCTCATATGTCATTCTCATATGTGAAAGCTAGAAAAGGAGAAGGAAAAAAAATGGTTAGTGGGGCAGGGGAAATCTCATGAAAATCAAAGGGAGATGAGTAGAGGAAAGGGACCAGGGGAAGGAGTGAGGGAAGAGAGAGAAGAAATGCTCAGGAAAGACACAACAAATAATATTGACCTATTTTGTGCACATATGAATATGTTACAACTAATCATACCATTATATACAACTATAACACACCAATAAAATAATGGGAAAAAATAAAATGCATATGCACAGCAAAAGAAATAAGAACATAAAGAGAGAGCCTAGGACATCATTACCCTAGGTACATGTATGACACTACTTCATGTACAACCACTGAAATGAAAAGTTGTGCTGCAATTGTGTACAATGAATCAAACTGCATTCTTCAGTCACATATACCTAATTAAAATAAATTAATTTTAAAAAAGAGAAAGTCTAACAAATGGGAGAAAAGCTTTTCCAGCTATTCCTCCAACAGAGG